CCATCCTGCTGCTTCTATCAGGAGTCAATAAACAGTAATAATCCCACTGGCATCCATACAACCTCATATAACACTACCTTCACCATATTTGACAGATAATGTGAGCTGATCCTCTCTTTCTCCATGCCTTTCTTTTCCCACAAGTCCATATTGGTTTCATCTGTCCAAAGCTGTAGGCTCTTTTAGATGTATTCTACTCTGACTTTACTGTTCTTGAGTGTAACCAGTGGTTTGCACCTTGTTGTAAACCTTGTATACATGCACTGATGAAGGTGGCTCTTGATTGTAGATGGTGACAATGATCTCTTCAAGCGTGTTTTTCATAATTCTGTCATTTAGTTGTCATCTGTGGTCTTTCAGGTTGGCCAGTTTACTTTCTTTTTAAGAATGTATCTGATTGTTGATTTGGTTAGCTCTAATTAGCAAGTTGTGCTTGCTGGCTGATATTATGGCTTTTGTAACACTGTGTGTTATCTAGTATGCACTGTATGTCATGTAAATTGTCCATCAACCACATATAAATGTACTGTATATGCAGTATGTATGTAAAGCTGACTTGGATTGTAGTAAGGGCTTGCTAGTTGTACATTGTTGTTTAACTATGTCATTACTTTAGAGCATGAATGTCATGTTCTTGTATTTTTGTGGAAAAATTGGTTTCTTTCACTGCACAGTGTATATTTTAACCTCCAGAGATAAATGCTGTTACTAATCTTGAAAGAACTGCTGTGGTTATCTGAGTTTCCTTGTTGTTTCTCAAACATCAGCTGTCGAGTCCTGCTCTGTCACTGTTTAGTCATTTTGGAGCCAGGTGAAGCAGCATAGTCAGAGCATCTACTCTTTGAAAATGTTTGGCCTGCAGACTGCTGACGGATCCATCAAATCCTTAACAGACTGAATGTGTTTTATGAGTCTGTCTGACCACAGTGTGTAATTAACTGCTGACTCAACTCCAGAGCTGTTAACACAGAGCAGTTAGCTTCAGCAAGTAAGAATAGACTACTAATTAGAGATCCTTGGACATAAATTGTTGTGATAATTGTGTTCATTAAAGAGACAAAACAAACATTTTCTTTAGAAAAAAGGCAGAAAATGAAGCTTTGATAACCACACAGTCTGTGGTACTGGGCTTGTGCCACAGGGAATTTCCATAATGCAGTTCCCAGTATCCCACCCCAGTCCTGGTTTTACTCTATCTTTAATTTTAATTCCTAACCTCTGATTAGCTTGGCTCCCTGACAAAGGAAAGAAAAAGGCTGATTTAGAAGAAAATTGTTAAATAAACAGTGTCACCTCATGCTGTTATGCTTTGTTTTCCCCTTTTAGGCAGAGCTGCTCACCGGTTCCTCTGTAGCCAGTGTGGAAGAGGCACATCGGGCTGGTCAAGAGCTGCTGAAACGAGGCTGCGGGTCAGTCATTGTCACCTTGGGACCCCAAGGGTGCGTGGTGCTCAAGGGAGGGGAGTCTACATTAAAACATGTTCCAGCCCCTGAGGTCACAGCAGTGGACACAACAGTAAGAATACCATATCCTTTCCAGTTGCCTATTTTCTATAAACTATCAAAGCTTAAGAACCTGGCACCCTGACTCGAGTTCGGGGATAGATTCTTTGTCAGTCCAGAAACCCAATATATTTGGCCCACTCACCCACGTCACTTGAGTTGGGTGATATTTAAGGTTTTCATCAGTTCAATGCTGGTGATTGCCAGTATAGTCACCCCTGTACCCTGCCACACTCGCTTGTTGTGAAAACCAATACAAAATTACCCATTCAGGTTTATCTTTGCTTTTAAATACAGCTAAACCAGCAAAAACCAGCAAAGCAGTGAAATGTTTCAATCACATCAGTTAGTTCTTACAGCTTATTGAACAATCAGTTGGTTAAGTATGGAAAAAAATGATTAGGGTTCAAAAATATCAAGAAGTCTATTAAAACTGAAAAACAACTGCCTTAGAGAATGTGTTCAATAGTTGATTTTTTTTTTCAGTTTCCCAGGTTTACTCCAACCTTCCTCTGATTTTTGTATTGTGTGTGTGTGTGTGTGTGTGTGTGTGTGTGTGTGTGTGTGTGTGTCTTGCTGCAATCTACTGAAATCAGTGCTGTAGCTCACTGTAGCTTTTAGTCCAAAATGAGAGGAACAAACAGAGAAGAAAGCAGATATATGGTGCAACTAATACTAACACAAACTACATCAAAAAGCATTCTAGATTATCAATATGAGGTCTTGCTGTTAGTGTACATCATTGACAGATGAAGAATATATGATAGGTGTGTTACCTTCATCAACTCTGTTTTTTAATGGGATCCGGTGAAACTAAGAAGCAAACTGACAGTTTTTCTTTGTGCATGTCTAAATGAAGTTTCTGAACAGCTCATGTTCCACTGTATAACAGTATAAAATAATAAAATATAATACAAAATATAAATATAAAATAGTTTTATAGTTTCCAAAGACACCAAAGAGATGCTGAGACTGGCCAATTTTCAGTTTGTGCAAAGTTTAGTGTTTTAGATCTCCAAAATTAAAAAATAACAAAAATGAAAATTAATTCAAAGTATAAATAAACAAATACAAAATTCTTAACTAAACACACAGTCAAACAGTAAAAAATAGCAAGCTACAATATGAGTAAAAGTTGGAAAACTGTTGGCTAAAACCGTGGCTAGCTGTCAAAATTATTAGCATAACAGTTTGGATAAATAGTCACAATTATAAGTTTAATATAATGCTAACCAAGTTAAAATAGTAAATAAACAATTATAACCAAAAAAGAACAATTGATTGAAAGTTGGAACAGTGAAAATTAGAAATTAGAATACATTTTGATTGTTATTTTATTATAATGGAACAATTTCAGCGTACATAGAAGTCATTTGAAATTTGAAGATGCTCTGTGAGTAAGTCAAAATTTTCATGATAACTTGAAATTTTAACTTGGATCAACGTGGCAATTTTTTTGTGTGTGGCAGAAACAAGCTTCCAAATGGTTAAAATAGCTTGTAAAAATTATAAATAAAATTATTAGGGGAAATAACACCATACAAAAGTATGGAAACAAACAAAAATACATAATATTTGCTTTTATATACATGGTATCCTTTAAAATATGCTATTTACTTTTATGTTGTACTGATCACTACCTCAGATCACTACCACTACCTACCTCACTAACCTCAGCTGTGTTTTTCCGGATATATTCTTTATTTCAGAAGTAGTGTTTGTTCTCAAGAGGCTCTTTCCATATTAACAAAAGAAAATATGTCAAATGGAAAATTATGCAATCAAGCCCACTTCTAACAGTAAGGAATATCGTGTAATGTACATCAATAAGAGAGGGGGAAAAAAAACACCCCAGAAGTTCCTCACACTTTCTTCTGCACATGCATCATCAGTGAGTGAAGTCCTGCTCCTCTAACCTCCATCAAACTTACAGATGCTCTGTTACTCAACCAGAGCAGTTTAAGATAACCGGAGGATGTGGTGACCACTGGCTGTTTCCTCTAACTGATTTCAATCTTTAAAGGATGCCGAGTGCTGCTTGAGTCATTTCACACCGGCCTCTGCGGCTTGTTTTCGTCACACGAGCCTGGGGCCGATGTTTGCATTTCCTGCCGCTGGGGGTTTTGTGGTGAATGTGTTCTACCGACCAAATACGTCATCACTCAGTGGTGTTAATCACCTCTTTGCTTTAATCGAACCTGGAGAGGTTTAATTGTTTGTGAGTAATGGGTTCTCTTACACAACACTTCCCGCCTGGGGACTTTTACTGTGCCACAGTTTCCAACCAGTACAGTAAAAAAAAGCTATAACAAGCTTGTAATTTGAGCTTTACATGAATGCCAAATCAGATATTGTGAAAGTGAGGATTAAAGGCTGCGAAGAGGCTTCACTTGTCATCCTAGGGTCACTTTTTGGTATTTCACAAACACAGCTCTCGCTTTCATGTGTGCACGGGCTGTGACCTCCCGCTTGTCCCCACATTTTTGGAGTACACAGCTCCCGTTATTCACAACCTTCGCTCTCCCCAATAGCCCTCAGGAGCACTTACACACCAGCCCTCCTCTTCATCCATGACTCACCTCCTGAGCTTGCATCAGTCAGCAGAAAGCTGTGGTTGGGCCTGCTGCACGCCTCCCCCCCATTCTCTCTCACACACACACACGCACCCCTCCTGCTCTTTGATGGGCCCATAAATTGTGTTGTGTTTAACTTTTTTGGACATCATAATCCCTCTTCCAGTAAGACTCTTTCTTGTTTTTACTGGCGAGAGGGAAAAAACAACAGGTTGTTTTTGAGACCATTATTCTTCTGAGCCTCTTCTGGTAACACAGGCCTCTTAGTTATGATTACATCGGCTGTTATTACTGCTTTGATTTTTTTTTCTCTCTCTTTCTCCCTTTCTAGCAGTAGTGACAGAGATGTTGTAGAAAGATTGCCTTCCAAGTGGGAAGTTTTGTAGCAGATTGCGAGTTTTCAGCTACGCTACCAACAAACTGAGTCACTTGCGGTTTCTCGCTATTTTAGCTACTGTTTAGCTAGGCGCCGCAGGTGCCGTGAACCGGTACCAAACCGCTATCTTTGTCTTTATTCCAACTTGTCCCAGCTGGATTATGTCAGATTGATTGATTGAGTTTGGTTAACGAAGTGCTAATGCAGCTGCTAAATCGCGTAGCTTGTAAATATTTCATCAGCATCTCCTCGTGCAGCTGTCTGAAGAGCACTACGGGATGAGTCAGGGCCGTGAATCTGGATGAATAACAAAGCAAACACACTCATCTACTGTGGGTCTCCCCCATCCTGCTTCTTCATACTTCATCCATCCGTGCCCCCTTTTGTCTGAAATTGAGTACAGGCTTCCCCTTGCTGAGATCAGAGCCTTGGCTGTTTTGTGTGGACAGTAAGATGAGATTTAATGCAGACATATAAACACACACACACACAGGCACATCGAGCTCCAGCAGGACTTGGGTGGCCTCAGTTTCCACCGTTCCGGGAGGTCCACTGTGTAGGGTGAGAGGTAGACAGTCCTGTCTAAACCAGACATTACAGAAGTACAGTGGGTCTGGACACTCAAATTATTCCCAGTCTTCTCCGGGAGCAATTGCACGATTCCTTCCTGGAAGGCTGAGGTAAGAGAATACCTCCTCCTCTTCTCTTCGCTGCATTCCTCGACCCTGCAAACTCCCGGCCAGTGTGACACAACGCAGAAAAACTGCCACATCACCATGTTTTAATGGAGTGCACGTGCTTCACCAGCTGCTGTTTGGCTACCCAGATGTTAGCCCAGACCTCCGCAAACGCTCAATCATGTCGATAAGTGTTAAACACACAAAAGGTCGATTGAAGACTAAGACAAAACGCTGCGGATGGATCAAAGATGCAAGGGGGCCCTAACTGGTCCAATTAAGTATGCTTTTGATCTGCGAGTCTTACTGGAAGCTTCCGGGCGTGGAAGCCTCTGTGAGTCATCACTGCCCCTCAGCCAGTCTTAGCTCTCCCCAGGGTGCCTTTCATTGACAAAAGCTGTAGGTTTCAGGAGTTAACTGCAAATAACTCCATCTGTCATAGCAGAGGGCCTCTGGGTGAGAAATACTGTTGCTCGGTGCAGATTCTCGAACAGTCAGTGGGTGCAGTGGACTATAAGACGACAGGCTCTGTAAAATCTACATTTTCTATAGGCTCTCTTTTTTGTTTTGTGTTTTGGTTTTTTGCATTCACTGCCGCTCTTCACTAGACAAAGATCACTTGTCAATCAGAGCGTGTGGGCGCTGCTGTTGTCTTTGGATTTTTCGTTGATGGACACTGTTGTGTTTCTGTATGCTCTCTTTTGTTTGTCTGTGCAGCCGTGGCAGTTAGCAGCTATTCAGCTGTTCTTCTCTGTGTTTTCCTCGAGTACACACACACACACACACACACACACACGCACACACACACACGCACCATTTGTACTTCATGCTGCTTCAAAACAAGGTAATTTCTCAGTTTTATCACTGACAGCCAATCAGATAAAAGTACTTTTGCAGGAAACAGAAAGCTTTCAGTGGATTCACCACTGGATTGTCACTGTTGGGGGGTAATAGAGCTACTAAAGTTATAAAATAAACTACAGCCACAACAAAAAGGGTCAATACTGTTTTTCTTTCTATATAATAGCTTCAGTATATTTAATAAAGCCTAGTTACGGGTCTTCTTTTTAGATACACATGAGCTTTTCAGTGCTTTTTAAACATATTTGAGCTCAGTCCAAGTGTCCCAATGTCATGCTTTTGAGCATAACTATTATGAAATATATATATATGTCATAATAATAGTCTTGGATGTTTTATCTGTCTCCACCGGAGAAAACTTTATTGTGGGATAGGTGTCTGGTCATCACAAGTTACAGCATTTGAAGGGTCTCCTTTTTACCTGCAGTTTGACACTAGGCTTATCTTGCAGTAATAACTCCTTCTGGGTCAAAATAATTGTTGTATTTCTCAGGGCTGAAAATGTAGTGTGATTATCTCCTGTATG